CGCAAATGACTCGGCATAGGCACGGGAGGGCCTATGCCTCGATAGAACCCGGATGGATGGATGTTCGGGAAGTCCCGATGAGATGAACGACACGCGGGCCCATTCTCGATGGCATGACCGAACGAGTTATGATGAGCGACGACATCCCGAGACTCGGGATGGCGTCAAGACATATGGACCCTGTCGATGGGGATCGAGATGGCAAGACGAGATGCGACGTTGTATTGAGAGACCTTGGCCCGAGCAGAGGCAAGGTCGAGCCGAATGAGTTGGCCTAGCGTAGAGGCAAGTCGGATGTGTCGCAGATGATTGAACATACACGCACAGGCGGCGTGTGTGGTTGAACAAGCTTGGATTCCGCACAAGCGATGTTCGATTGGCGAAGGCAAACCTCGCCTAAGGTCCGACGAAGCCACAAAGCCGGGGCGAAAAATATAATGGGGCTTAATTCCCCTTAAGGCTGGTCGTGAGCATGTATAGATCACGACGCCGCACGGTCAAAGATATAGGACCGTGACACCTAGCACCAGTAAGAACATTGGGCCCCGAAGGAGGTAGATTTGGTGGCGGTCCCATATCACGATTGGAGAAAGGAACGAGTGCTAGCGAGGATGCTGGGTCTTGAAAGAGGGTGTATTGTGATATCCGATATTGGTTGGGGGAGGAGAGCAAAACACTCTTATAGGATGTGAAAACCTTTCTCTAGTACGGGAGCCTAGCGGTGGACTTGAGGTTTCCCCTTATGGCTTGCGTGTCTGTTAGAAGAGGACGTAGCCTGAAGAGGAGAACTAAGCTCCTTCACTCTCCTCCTCCCCTCCGCCTCCTCACTTCCTTCATCCATTACCTTCTCTATGGTCGCCTTAACCTCTTCCCACCGCACCTGAACCCCAAACTTCTCCTCTTCCCCTTCATTCAAAGCCCACTTCGCCCCTGCACTCACTCCAATCCCAAGCACTTTCAGAACCAGCTGCTCGTTTATGAACTGGTCCACAAACAGAGGCCAAGTCAACAATGGCAGCCCACAACACACCCCCTTCTAGCATCCCACTAGCCCCACAATGGGTCAAGAACCCTCCAACGGAAGGGTGCGACAGTATCAAAATCTGGGGAGCCCAACCCCAAATCAATACCCCTCTTCCTTTAATTCCATTTTCATATCCATTTTGAGATTTTAATTTTACAAACTTTATATTATAAATCAACTATCTAACTTTAGGGAATATTAATTTCTTTGTATTTTGGACATGATCTGATCACAGCTTGAAGATAAATTCCATTTTCAAATACTGAAATTTCATTCTTTTAAGAGCAATGAGAAAAATGAATATCAAAGAATTAGGAGCTCTTTAGAAATTTGTTCTCAAAATGAGCATAAAAGAAACTCAATACATTTGCTAAAAGGATACATTGTTCTTCATTCTATCCCGATCTAAAGAGAACTTCGAAGAGAAAAATCTGAGTCGATCTGTTCGGAGGGGTTACTGAATCCCAACATCACCAGAAAAATGTTCATCAAAAGATTCAGAGTCAGAGGAAAGTTTAGGAAAAGTATGCCAAAGGATGCTAGTTGCCCTTTCAATCTCCCACCTCTCAGGCTCTCACCTGACCTGCAGCAGCAGCAGAGGCATCGCCATGGAAAGAAGCCATCAGCAGCCACCCTGACTTCCTTCTCCGGCCACCGCCATCAGGGGCGGTGGGGTTCGTGCAAGTTTGAGAGGGGTTGATGATCAGGGATGTGGTTTGTTTATCAAGGCAAAAGAGAAGGAAGAAATTATCTAAGAAGGGAGTTTGTGGCCACTTTTTGTTCAGGTAAAGGCTGCAATTTTCAGCATCTTCCAACGGATATGCTTTTCGCAGTGGTATTCCCTTTTCCCCACATCCCATGATACTATACCAACTCATCTCCGTTGATGCTAAGCTAAGTTGCATCTTAGTGTACTAGTTTTATCTTTTCTTCTTTTTTATATTTTTAGAGAATTTTATGTAATCTATTGTGAGATCCCACGTCGGTTGGAGAGAGGAACAAAACATTTTTTATAAGGGTGTGGAACCTCTCCCTAACAGACGCGTTATAAAACCGTGAGACTAACAGCAATACATAACAGACCAAAGCAGACTATATAATTTAGCAGTGGGCTTGGATTGTTACAAATGGTATCATAGCTAGACACCGGATAGTGTGCCAGCAAGAATGTTGGGCCTCCAAGGAGAATGGATTATGAGATCCCGCATCCGTTGGAGAGGAGAATGAAACATTTTTTATAAGGGTGTGGAAACCTCTCCTTAATAGACGTGTTTTAAACCCGTGAGGCTAACGGTGATACGTAACAGGCCAAAACAGATAATATCTACTAGCTGTGGGTTTGGACTGTTACAAATGGTATCAGAGTCAAGACTCCGAGCGGTGTGCCAGCGAGGACATTGGTCCCCAAAGGCGGGTGGATTATGAGATCTCATATGTGTTGGAGAGAAAAACGAAACATTCCCCCTAACAAGGGTGTGGAAACTTCCCCCTAACATACGCATTTTAAAACCATGAGGCTAACGACCTATACGTAATGGGTCAAAACAGACAATATCTACTAGTAGTGGGCTTGGACGGTTAGATCTATAACTTCAAAATTTGTTTTCATGGCCATCTACAGGTTAGGACAGCCCATTCAAGAAGTTATTTTAAACCGAGTGGGCTTGCTTTCCCTTTTGTTATAGCTTTCTTTTCTCTTTTCAACATGTGCCCATATTCATCTCTAGCCTTTCTTTACACCCATTTCCACATGCACCCAACAAAAGTTGAGGCCACTTAATGCTGTTCTTATCCTCGGGAGTAGGCCTTTTCTGTTTGATATGAATGTTCATAAATCTTGATGAATGGCCAACCCAACTCAAGCTAGTATAAGTTTGTTTCGGTTGATTTATTCAAACAAGAAATCCTATCAAGCGAGTTGGGCTATATCATAATATCATTCTCAAGCATCTTATTACCACAGGAATCTAGATCAAATGATTCTTCAATATGTATCTATGATTAAGTAATTGTCTATAGACAAAAGAATCAGCACAGAATTTAAAAGAACTAATTCTATCTTTTTTCTCTCAACTCTCTAACGTGAAATTATGTACATTTTCAACATTTACCTTGAAGCAGGGGAAGCTAATCCTGGGGTCATCTGCTTTTGGCTGAGTTTCATGTACAAACCCTGCATTTGCAATTAGCACTTGTAAGTATCAATCTTTCATATAAACCATATTTTTCTACAATTTCATCCGCTATTCTTCTAAGGAAAACTCATCAATATTACAAATAATCTTTCAAACATTAACAACAAGAAAAGAACAATACAATAATTCACAATTGATGTCTACAGAGTTCTGAAAATAAAATAAATTCATTTATGTTCCAAAAAAGACAGTTCTCAAAAAAATTATTTATTATCTAGTTATAGTTTCATAAGTAATTATCAAGCACAGCCAACGATATTGAGAACACAGTTCTAAAATGAATTGTTGAAATAATAATCGGAAGAAATCACAGGTACTACTCGGGATCCGAGCTCAAAATGTAGGAAAAAGTGTACCAATGCAGGGATGAGCATAGTAAACATTACATTTGTTGTATGTATAGTTGCTCCAGTAGTCATCCCAATGGTCTGATCTGGAACTAGCTCGAAGTTTATATGCTGCAGAAAAATGGCAAGTGCAACGATAGCTTCAAGCAGGGCGAATTGATCACCAACACACTTTCGGGGTCCTCCACTGAACGGAATAAATCTGTATTGTATGGTTTGGTCATTCAGGTCTATCAATTATGAAGGATAATGAGGTAGCTAGGTCTGATGGCAGATCAAAACCATGCATCATTTAAAATGCAAGTAAAAAATGAAAGTGATCTAACTACTGTGCTGTTCTTATAGTGCCACTAGTATCAAAAGTACCACCCACTGTTTTTTTTTTGGAGTGTCTATTGCACCTGGACATTCAAAATTCCACCATTCGAGCCTATTAGCACGTCGTTAAAGAGGATAAGAAACTTGGGGTCAAGCAACTCACACCAGAGAAGCCTATGACTGCCTGGAAGTGCCTATTGTACTATTAAAACAGTGTAGTTTCCACACACAAATTGAATGTGTACCTGAAATCTGTATTGCTTTCGTTGGGCACGGGACCCTCCAAGTCAAATCTTTCTGGTATAAACTCTTCTGCTCGTTCCCAAACCTTGAAACGTAAGTGAGAGTTACAATATTGTGCAAAGCACCACATAAAGCAAGAGCATGCTCAAATGTCCCTATGTTCAAAATATATATTCAAACTAGTAACAAAAAGAAAACAATACTTTAACTTTTGGTAATGTAAGTGTTCTTTCTGTATTTAGTCTTGTTTTGCTAATTTTGCATTGTAGATCGCCTTTTGTAATAATCAACGACTTCTCTTTGAAACTCTTGTAAGAAAATGATTCCTTTCCTGATGTTTTGTATATATTTGTGTTCATGAGTTCTAAGGACGAGAAGTGTTCGAATATACCCCCATATACAAACAAGGAATTTCACTTATAATTTCAAACATCCTTGAAATTCTCCCTCCATTGCTCAAATTTAAACCATAACTTAACATCTAATTCCTATTCATGGTAATAGATTATTATTATTAGGTTATATCAGTTGGTAAAAGATTCTTGTTCATGGACGAGTTAACCAATCGAATATCAGGAGATGTCTATTCAATGAAGCATGTGTAAGAATTTCTGCAAGCACAATATTTGAAAATCATCAACTGAGTTCTAATAACTACTACCAATATACCAACTTAACAGCAGAAAGCATCTTCTGAAATTTTTATAGTGAAAATCTTGAACAAGAATGAACAAAAGAGTCTATATCTAATGCAAAGATAGAAACAAACTCCTTGAAATATGTACCTGGGACGAGCGATGGATGTTATATACTGAAATCATGATATCTTGACCAGCATTAACCTTGTAATTTCCAGGAAGCACGTCAGCAACTTGAGCTCTTCTTATTAAAACCTGGAAAGGTTCAAGGAATGTTACCATAAAAACAAGATTAGCAGAATGATGAATAATTTCCATACGTTTCCTTCTTTTCTTCTAATGTCATAATTCACTTGATCAATAAATAAACGTACAGGTGGATGTGGATAAAGGCGCATTGACTCAAGGATACAACGCGTCAAAAATTTAAGTTCCTTTGTATCTTCGTAGGAAGGAGGCCTTCCTTGTAAGACTCTATCAACTTCAGTTTGCGCCTTGTTCAATGCTGAGGAATCCTGAGTTGCAGAATAATAAACCATATTGAAAAACAACTGACGAATTTTTTTTTTTTTTTTTTGAGCTTTTCCCCATCTTACTAATCATAATGAAGAAGGCAATCAGTCAAAGATATCCTCAAGTCGGAATTCCAGCAAACACCAAGAAGTATCCATTCTTAACACAAGATCCCCCCCTTGTAATCTTTTATTTTTCTCAATCAAAATTTGGTTTCTCTTTGAAAAGAAAGAACAGAAGTATATCAATTTCATAACAAAAATATATCCAGTCAAAATTACATTTAGATCCTGTGCCTGATAACATTATTCTTATGTATAAAATCAATTACCACATGGTGACTAGCCAAAATCTTTCTTCACTATTTTTATAACACGAGAATGTATTAACTATATTACTTATTCAAGTTTAGGTAACAAATTTGGAAGTTTAAAGGCTAAGATTGACACATCGAGATTGGACCAAATGAAATTTTCTCTTCAAAGAAATAAAATGTACCAAGGGACAAACATCTATTCTACATATACCCAAATGACTAGATTACCTTACTTAAAAGATACAATGTCCATGTTAGAACAGAACCGGTAGTTTCATGTCCAGCAACCAACATCGACAATAGATCATCTCGTAATTGTACACTTGAAACCTAAACGGTAAACAACACAAGAGACAAGTATCAGTGACAGAAGTTAGAACATGGCAGATCTCAAAGTATTAGTAGTTTTTTCCATTTTATGAGCACGCCATCAATAGAACTTTGCAAATTGACGAGCATTCATTTGAACTATGCTAATAGACACAAAATTTCCTAATTCCAACGTTCTGGCCTCTGGACCTCTGGTAGAACCCAAATTTAAAATAAAAACTAACAGTACTGATGAAAGAAAAGAAAAATTACCACTTCCCAAATATTTTGAGAGAGGCTTACAAAAGTCAAAACGACGGTGAGATCTCACATTGGTTGGAGAAGAAAACGAAACATTCTTTATAAGGGTGTGGAAACCTCTCCCTAGTAGACACGTTTTAAAACCGTGGGGATGACTACAATAAGTAACAAGCCAAAGTAGACAATATCTGTCAGTGGTGGGCTTGGGTTGTTAAAACGACCCTCCAAATTCTATTACTTACCAAATCCTCTAACTCCTCTATATAACCACTCGACTTAAACAAATTTCTCCAGTAATTTATATATCACAGTTCACATTCCTAATATATCCCTTCTAGCCTTCCTTACAACCTCTTGTCGTTAGTGCACTTTTTTATTTACTTTTTGCGTTTTGGAGAAACAAACATTATAGGAGGGACAAAAAGGCTTAATTCTGGCATTAATATATTGAATTCACAATGTAATCAAAGCCTATAATAATCTCATCTCACCATGCGACAGAACCTGTTTCATAAGCATGAAATAAATTCCTTGATCGGTGATTTAGCATACATAAAAGGGGACAATGGCTGTAATTAAAAAGAATCAGAGCGCTCACCCGCAGGAAACGAAGGATACTTTGCAAAATTTCTTAA